CATTTGGCAGTAGCTAGATAGGGCGTGGAATGACAGCGTTAAACGAGTATCTAATTATTTTTAAAAAATATTAAATATAAAAAGATTCTATTGGGATTATGTATTTTAGTAGTAAAATAACTATATATATTCTCTGTTGAAGTCTTTTGTTTCTCAAGGAAGGTATATCTTTCTTTCAGTGCTTCTCTTGAGAGACTGACTGACTCCTGTAAGACACATCTGCAGCTGTATCTGACTCCCGAGAGTTGTTTATGTTTATGTAATGTTTATGTAAACATTCGTTCTAGGAATTTATATCTTCTAAATTATTTGTTCATATCTTATCTTCTAGATTGAGTTTTATCTTCAACTAAACTTGTCTATTCAACAGATTCTATATTTGAAGCGAAGAATTTGTGATAGAATTTGGAAAGCTTCAACGCTGTTTCCTACTCATTACGAACCAACGATCGTCTATCTGTCATGAGGGATTCTCCTCTCTTTAAGGGGATTTTCCTCTCTTCGAGGGGATTCTCGGAAGAACAGACACGAGTATATATTTTAGGGATATAGCTTAAGGGAAGTCTGTCTGCAGAGTCCTTAGACTCATCGTCTGAATGACAGGGGAATTTAACTACCACCCTTAGTCGACTTTCCACGAGGAACTGTTGCATCCTTTCTTTACCCAGTTCCTTAATCGCAACTATTATATCCGGCAGCTACTATTCGATGATTCCAGGTCACAGCGTGACCTAACCAATGCCACGCACCGTGGTCTTCCTCGCGCTCAATTATTTCGACCACCCTGTTAGTCGACTCCGATTTATCACGAGTTTCTCGACATACTCGTGAAGACGTGAATTGCGGTCTAATTAAATCTCGACTCTAGGTCTCGTCTAGCAAGGTTTTCAAAGCTGCATAGAATTTTCAGCTACGTGGATTCTTGGAAAACGAACTCGTTTGATTCCCTGCCGCGTATCAACCAGCATCTGGCGTATCCTATGCTCCAATTACTAACTTGTATGTCGAGTTGGGCGAAGTGCAGTTGATCGCATTCAGTGACAGGTGATCCCAGATCGATGAGACTTCTCTGCAACTTCCACAGCCATGACCGCACCTTGCTCCGAAGAGCGTGGGTGCTCTGGAAATCTGCGATTACACCAAGGGGATTTCGAAGAAGGGAAATATATCTGGTTGGGTGATTTAGTTATCCCCCGTTCGTGCAAGCTTGATATTCAGCCCTTCGTGCGGCGAAGTAGGGCAACAGAGCACGCCTAAATATAGTGACGAACCGGGATCCATCGATTCGAAGTCAGGTTCGATTTCGGTGAAGTATAACACTCTTCTAAATTATTCCCGGAAACCTTGATCATCGCCGTGCCTCTAGCACGCCAGTCGCTGACCTAATTGATCCGCGTACCATTTCGAAGAAGTCTTAACGAGCACTCGTGGGATCCGTCCTGGCCAGAAGCTTCTTCTCCATCGAGAAATCATCGAGATGGTTGCTTTTAAGATAACGAGTGGACATGCGACCAATCTCATCTGGCATCCGGCCGCGAAACAAAGCTTTCCGATGGCTCTTACTCCGCGTATCACCTAATTCCTCGCAGAGGAAATCCTGGACATTCTTCCGATAGTGCCATTCCAGACGATATTTATAGGCCCCGGAGGCCATCTCGTCCGAGTCGATGGCAATCCCTTAAAAAGCCGTGCAATCTCCCGTCGTTTCGTCGTTCCTTGGACGAAATCCATTCCTCGTTCGCTTCTTAAGCCAGAATCTCGTTCACGCGTCAACTTCTGGCTCGTTAGACGTAACGAACGTTCTTGAACGCTTCAATGACGAACGGTCATTGAAACGAGGCTGCCAGGTCACGACATCGCACGGCCGCGTGCAAGTACACAGGTTGTAAGGAACAGACCGGTTCACCTGGCTAAAGCAGCTGCATGAATAAAAGATAATCCATCCGGATTTACATTTTCCCAGATCGTCCGTGACGAACGACGACTTTCCGTTTCCCGCCCTCTGCCCCGTTCGCGACTCTCCGTCAGTCTGGCTCTAGACAGCCTGGGCGGGTAATAAGAAATCGATGAAATGTCCTGTCCGCGACACAGACATTTAGGTCTTCGACTAAGTCCAGACAACTTTCAGACAGTCCGTATCCGGATATCGGTCGGAGCGTTGTCTCGCGTCGGGCTTCTCGGAAACGATCGTTTATTTACAATTCCGGACTGCCCGTTGATCTATACAGGGGTCCAACGCGTCGATAGGGGGATTCACGAATCGTTGGAGATCGTTTGGAACGCGAAGACCGACGTCGGTACACGAGTAGGGTATATCTCGCGTATCTGTCCAACAGACTCGGGTATTGTTTATATGTGCGCGCGTTTCGCGGAGACCGTGGGAGATAAACAAAGCCCGTGGACGTGGAGCTATCGAAAACATGGACTCGGAAAACACCGGAACTCGGTTCACGTGGCGTACGAGCAACAGATCCCGGATCGGCCACTCGGCCAGGTAAACAGAAGCGTCGTTGGCGTGGCGAATAGTCGGTCGTCGTGCAAACAAACGTGGTGGAATAAACCGCGTGCAGGCAGGAGAAATAAATGGAACGGAGCAGAGCGATCAGCGCCATTAGAGGAGCGGGAAGCGAGCCGGAAAGGAAGCGAGCAACGCGCGATCATCATCCGGTGGTGATTAGTTGCGATTAGAAAGGTGCACGGTATGCCGTTGGTGGGGTTGTTATTGGCCGTAGCGAGGTCGCGAAGACGGCCGCTATTAAGGTAATAAGGCTAACCCTGCTAAGGTTGGATACTTCGAAACGTGGTCGGCGTAGGGTGTGACGACGGGGGTTGCCCTAACCCACACGTACAGGCCTGTGTCCGTGTACACTCTCAGCGGTAATCGTACGTATACACACATATACACACGCTCGCTTACTCTCTCTTTCTCTTTCGTTCGCTCTCTTTCTCACTCTCTACTCGTCGTCCTCCCCTTCGCCAATCGAACGCCGCCACCCTTCGCGGACCGCATTGCATCAGTGTGAGGCTAGCACTCGACTAGGACTCTTCCGGTTCTTCCTCTCCGCGTTGTAAACAACTGATATTCCGGTATTTGGGGCAACGTTCCGTCCAGCGGATCGATATCCCCGGTTCCTCGAGTCGCGGAGCTTTCACTGGGATCGACAGTCGTTTTGCCGCCGCTTTTCCGACTCGACTTCGCTCCACTCGTTTCGCGCTCGATAAAACGTGACGGTGACGAAGGAACGCGACGGCGTGATACGTAACACCGGGAGAGAGGACACACCGGGGGCCAGCAAGCAGCAGGATTCTCAGTTCGCTGCTCCATGGTGTGATGACACGGCCATCAGTGGATCGCGGTGTAGACACGCGCGCGTACACGTACCACTGTGTCTTGGCTTGGATCATCGCCGAGTGAATTTATTTACCGTGCTGGCTGGTCCGCCCAAGTTCCGCCGGTCGGAAGTCGCTGGTGAAAGTGCACGTGTGCCGGGTGTGTGTCAGTGGCAAGCATAGTGTGTGCCAAGTGTTTACTTATGGTCGATCGGTGGCCGTGCTTTCGTCGTAGTACCTCCACAAAGGCCGGCTTAAATGGCAGGGAGTCCAATTAGCAACTCGAAACGCTACTGTGCCAGACAGGTCAGCAGGTTCTCGTAACAGTTACCTATCGCGATTTTTCTACTTTTCTCTTCAGCCTCGTACATCGCACTCTCCTCTAAATGGACCGTGACCGATGGATACTCCTCGAGCTTTCCGTTCTCGCAGTCGCTACGCGTCTCGGCGCTTTTAAACCCTCGTTTCCATCGAAACGGCTCACTCTGGCTGCCGGATCGGATTTCGCCGAGATTTTAGCCCCGTTACCTCGATTTACCGCGTGACGATCTTAATTGTTCCCACTCTGAATCGCGACCCGAATAGAGAGATCTATCTCGTCGCGGAAAATTTTTCTTTCCCTCCATTTACTCGGATTTTCCTTTTTCTGCAAATTTTCTGTAAACTGACAGGGATATCCTCGGGAATAATCGATAAATAGGTTCGAAAAATTTCCCGATGTCCGTGGAGATATTCCAAGATATCAGTGGATAGCGGATTTTTCCGTTGGCTGAGTTTTGTCGCGGGAAAGAAGGCAGAGAAACGCGGCGATGGTTAAATGAGTGAGGCTGCGGGGTAGAAACAAATCTTCCTCTCTGCCGTTGAATAAAGGAGAATGGTACCGCGCCAAGTGATAGAAAAGAACGGGCGTGGGTGTTGTATATCCCGCGTTTCTGGCCGTGTTGGTATCCGACAGAAAGAAAAGGAAGTTGAAAATGCAGAAGCAAACAAAGGTGTTCCTGATATTGTTCGCTCGGTCATTCATCGTGGAAAAATAACGCGGTATTAAAACGAACGCGGACGCGAAATAGTTTTCCTTCTTCTCACTCGTTTTTCTTCTTGCCTCGGCAAGCGATAACGTTGCCGCGTTATTTTCAATCTTTTTCGCCAATTGTTTGATTAACCAACGATCCAGGGCCATTCTTCGTTCCTCGTAAGAGGCATTCCGACTGGGAAAACAAATCCGCGTAGAGCTCGGCGAAACAACGTAAATCCAATGAATCGTTCTCGAAAAGTAATAACATTAATCTCCGAGCCTTATACCGATTGATATTCCGTGGAAAATAATCGAACGACAGGAGAAAGGCAATGAAGCAGAGCTAAAAATTCTATCTTTCTCTCCCTCTTATTATTTAACTCTCGAGATAGCAAATAAACAGTAAAGGCAGTGTTTCCATGGTCTTCGGTATTTTTAGGAATCTCGTGATTCGATGGAGAAATCGAGAAAAAATTCGAGGCGAGAAAAGTTTAAACCTTGGAGAGGTTGTGATGGGTTAGTGACTATCCGTGGGTGGTCACGTTGCGTCGTTGATTTCCAATTTTCCAGTCGATTTTTCTCTAACGAAAAACGTGGGAAAAGGAACGCACGATGAGTCAATCCTTTCCCAAGATGTTGATACCGTGTGCCACAGGTGCTGTCCCTTGGAAATGATATCCTCCCAGAGTACAAATTACAGTCACCTAAAATCGGCAAGTGGACCATAGTGCACTATGCACCCTTCAAGTCGTCCTGGGACTGGGTGATACTTGCGCTCGTATTGTATACCGCCATATCCATCCCGTATGTCGCCGCCTTCCTCCTGTCGGATCCGGAGTACAACAGCAGGAAGAACAAAAAGTACAGTGAAGATCCCATTGCCATCATAGACTCCATAGGTGAGACACGGAATGAATGATATCTCCGTGTAATGCGGAGAAGCTCGCGTTACTTGATCAGGCTCTTGTTTCACTGCGCGTTTAGGATCAGACCATGACCGGAATTCGTAGAATATTTTTAGTATCTTTAAACAGTATTACATCGATTGTTCCTTTTTTAGATTGCCAACTTATTAACGGTAGTTAACTATTGCCAAGTGACTTAGCTGGTAACTAGATTGCGAATAATTTGCTAACTCGTTGCAATAGTAATTACAGTAGTTGCTAGCAGCAATAGTAACGCGTAGAATTAGAGTCACCGTAAATAAATTATTTTCGAGTAGAATTTGAACGCGATCTCCGTTTTATCGAGCAAGATATCAATGGACGTAACGCACGAAAATAAATGATAGATCTTTTATTGCACCCTCCCACGCGCCGACCTGTTGTTCTCACGAAATTTTCGCTTTTTTCAGTCGACGTCACTTTCGTAGTGGACATCATCATAAATTTTCGCACGACTTTCGTGAACAGCGACGATGAAGTGGTGTCCCATCCTGGAAAGATAGCCGTCCATTACCTGAAGGGTTGGTTCATCATCGACCTGCTGGCCGCCATACCCTACGACCTTCTTTTCGTTGGCTCTCAAACCGAGGAGGTAAGTTTCATCGCACGCTACACGTTTTCTGAGAATCTTCTTTCCAGGCTGAACTTCATCGTCGTCAAATCGCTTCCAATCGATCTTCGATCCTTCCCTTGCACGTTTCTCTATATCCAGTCACCCGAGAAGGGAGAAAGAAATGGATACGAAAAGTCGCCTATGCGTTTCGGAATATTCAAATATCACGTTTAATCGCGTTTTCGAAACGCGAATTTTGCATCGGATCTTTGACGACGAATATAGGATAATTAAAGAGAAACAGACGGCAAATCAGATTCGCGGAGAAGCCGATGGTATCGGTAAGATTGACGGTTAGAACGGTGTTGGAGATGCGAAAGGTCGATTAAAAATTGATAAAGGGAAGAGAATATTAAAGTGCAAAGTGGAAATGATTTGACGGACGATCAGGTTTTTTCGGCCGAGGTTTCTAGAATGTCGATGTTAGCTCGTAAATATGATTAGGATGACATGCCGAGCCCAAGTTAAGTGCCCATAGGTGTGTCTTACCGGATTGGTGCTTAGTTCGTTTTCCCTTTTTTCGACGTTTCTCGGTGTTGAATGATTTCTCTTTTTTCTTTGTCGAAAGTTAGTCGATTCGACGTTATATTAAATGTGCACACAATGTACGTACCGGCAAACGAGAAGGAACTTTAACGGATTCTCGTTGTCTGGAACGATTCCACACAACTTTCACAAATGGTACACGTACGTTATAGATCAAACAATATCGAGAAAGAATCGAGAATTTCGAGAATAATAAAGAAAAGAAAGAGAAAAGAAAAAGTAAAGTTTGCACGGACGGAAAACGTTTCGATTAAATTCGAGTTCGCTTCGGAGAAGAAAATTAAACGTATATATATTTTCTGGAAAAAATTATACATATATATATATGCACATATATATATGTATGAATAAATAAATTGGCATTCGCGTTGCAACGTAGAATATTTTTTTTTACCCTTTTTTTATTCGACAAAGAAGAAAAAAAAAGATGTAAAAATTAAAATACAAGCTCGCAAACGGTAATAGCTTTTCAATTGGATTTGTACCTGTACACACACGTATGCATACACACTTGATCTATACATGTGTAAGTTTAGTTCTCTCGCTGTGAAGATTTCTGCTCTGATTGTCGAAATGTTAGATTTTTATTGTCAGTTCCTTGTCAAGATTTCTCTTCTGTATACTTTGTCCCGTGTCTTGTTTTATTTTTTTTTTTATTCTCCTATGTTTCAGTTACTCAATTAATTGTCGTTTACGTTCAGAAACGTTCCGTTTGTTTCTCATGATTTTCGTGTTTCTTTGCCTCTCCTCCGTGAGGGAAAAAATTAGCATACGCCTGTTCGCAGAGATAATTTTTTCCGTTTTGTTTTCCACGGTGCTCGTTAAAGAAAAAAAGAGGGAAAAATAAAAGGGACGAAAGAACAAAGAGGAAACGATTCGAAACGCGGGATCGACCGCGCGAGAAAAAAAATTAAAAAAAAAAAAGGAAAAAGAAAAAAATAATTAATAAAAACGTAAAAAAAAGAAAAAAGGAAAAAAAGAAAGAAGAAAATAATGATGCACCTGCGAGTAATCTATGTGACCCCTTTTTCTCCCCGTGTTTCTTGGTGGAGGAGCGAAAATATAGGGCAGTGTAATTTTAATTGCGCGTGTAGGAAAGTTTATTTCACGAGCACGATGCGTAAGTTGAAATCAGCCTACGAGAAAGTGGCGAGAGCTTAACGTCTCGGCAAATTCATACGATATTTTTCTTTTTATTTCAGTTTTTCCAAAAACTCGAGACGAGAGAAAAGCGAATTTTTTGTACAAGCATATTGATCGATCGTATATATATATATACGTATACGTATATATATATGGATGATTCATTTTCGAAAGAAGGATAAAGCGAATAAACGAATCCCTTTTTTCCGTTACTTCTCTCCTCTGTTTCTTTGAGAAAAAAAAAAAAAAAA